GGTTGGAATTGAAATCAGCAATAGAGAACCAGAAAAACAATAAAGCCAGATGGGATTCCAGGGGAGCTGTACAAGGCAATTGCAGAACAAATTGGACCTCTTATGGTGGAAGTTTTTAATGATGTCTTATTGGCAGCCGGACTCATGGAAGGGGGCATTGATTTCGCTGATCCCGAAGGAGGATTTGGATCCCCGATATATAAACAATTGTAGGCTGATTTCACTTTTAAACACTGACTATAAAATATTTACTTCTATTATAGCAAGTAGACTAAAAAGAATGTTAAACGTGCATATACATGAAGATCAAAATGGATTTCTCCCGACCAGACAAATTAGGAACAACTTAAGAATAGTACTAGATGTCTTAGAATTTTATGAAGCCCACCCCGAAAAACAAATTGCACTTATGTTTTTAGACGCAGAGAAGGCCTTCGACAATTTAAATTGGCAATTTTTAATCCAAAAAATTTATAATATGAATTTAGGCACCAAATTTGAAAACATTATAACAACTATTTATGATACACAACAGGCTAATATTATAATAAACACGGAATATACCTGCCCAATAAAAATAGAAAAAGGAGTCAGACAGGGCTGCCCACTCTCACCCCTGCTCTTCATATTATCATTAGAAACATTATTAATGCGAATTAGACAGAACCCAGATATAAAAGGATTAAAGGTTAAGAAAGAAGAATATAAGTTGCAAGCGTTTGCGGACGATATGATTTTTTTCATTGAGGAACCAATAGAAAGAGGACAAAAATTGATGAATGAATTAGAACAATTTGGAGCAGTAGCAGGACTCAAAATTAATAGGAAGAAAACTAAATTAATGACTAAAAATTTAACAGAAAAACAGAAAATAGAATTAGAAGAAGTTATGGGAATACAAGTGATAAAGAAAGCTAAATACTTAGGAATATGGTTGACAGCACATTCTAAGACATTTAAGGAAAATAAGTATGATAAATTGATGCAACAGGTAAAGAAGGATTTAGAAACATGGGGTAAGCTGCAATTTTCATTATTAGGCAGGATCGCTGCCATTAAAATGAATATTCTTCCAAAATTTCTATATCTATTTCAGATGATCCCAATTAAAGTACACAAATTTTTTTTGAAGAACTTAATAAAATAACTGCTAAATTTATTTGGCAAGGAAAAAACCTAGAATAAATGTAAAGGCAATGCAGGATATGAAGAGCAGGGGAGGGCTGGCACTTCCAAATTGGGAGTTGTATTATATTGCTGCCTCTTTAGTATGGTTGAAGGAATGGGTGAATTTAACTAACAAGAAAATATTATTTTTAGAAGGCCATGATTTGCAGAGGGGGTGGCATGCTTTTTTATGGGATGTAGGGAAAACTAGCCAGAAATATTTCCACAGACACCTAATCAGAGACTCATTATTAACTAATTGGAAGAAAATACGGAAAAAACATTATTTAAAAGTACCAATTTGGATTTCAACAATGATTCACCGAAATAATCTGGATATTACTAAAATGATTAAATATAAGGACCTATTGGATACACAAGGAAATTTGAAATCGCGACAAGAACTTCACAAGCGGGGACTAAAAATTGATCAGTGGGCATACCTTCAAAGTAGACATAAACAGAACAAGAAAGAATTCGGAATCAATGATAAACTCCAGCAATTAGATAAAAATTTATTAGGATCAGGCAAAAAAATAAAATAAAAATTTTTTATAATTATTTATTAGAAGTAGAATTAGAAGAAGAAATTGTAAAAGGGAACATGATAGCCTGGAGTAGGAATGTAGGACGTAGCATCACCCTAACAGAATGGGAAAAGGTCTGGGGTAGAAATAATAAGATTACAAAATCGGTAGCATATAAAGAAAATGCCTATAAAATGTTTTATAGATGGCACCTTCCTCCTTCAAGATTAGCGAAGATGCACCCCAATATGAGTCCGAATTGCTGGAAATGCAAAAAAAAAAGAGGGAACTTTTTTCCATATGTGGTGGTCCTGTACAGAAGCTCAAAAATATTGGCAGAAAATGAGAAATTGGCTGGAAGAAATGACAAGAGAACAGATTGAATACAAACCAGAGTCCTTTTTGTTAGGGATCTTTGATAAACAAATATCAAAAAAAGCGAAATACACAATAATACACATTTTGACAGCGGCCAGATTAGCTTTTGCCCAATGTTGGAAGCAGCCTCATGTTCCATCAGAGGAGATGATCATTCAAAAAATTTCAAGTTGTGCAGAAATGGACAAATTAACTTTGGCATTAAAAAATAAAGACACCTCAATATACAACAGCTGGAACTGCTGGTACAAATGGATAGACCAAAGATAGACTTTATACTATAAGGCAAAAGACAATAGGATAAATCCATAGTAGTGATACACAGATATATGTAAGGATTAGGTGTCTGTATATGGCATAAATTAAGGATAAAAAAAAGAGGTCTTACAAACTGTTGAAGATGAGAATGTTTTTAATTGTTTTCTATTTTTCTTTCTATTTTTTCTCCCTTTTTTCTCTTTTTTTTCATTTGTGTATGTGTTGTCGGTTTGTTTTAATTGTAAAATCAATAAAATTTATTTATAAAAAAAAAGGTCACTAAATGAAATTTTTGTAAGTCGAGGACTCCTGTATGGGGCTGTTTGACTACTTTATACTGTAGTTCTGTGGACAAAGAAGAGCGGGTCAAATTATTTGCCAATGCACCAAGAAACAATGGTTGGAAACTAATCAAAGAGAGACGCAATCTGGAATTAAGGAGAAACTTCTTAACAGTGAGGACAATTAACCAGTGGAACAGCTTTCCATCAGAAGTTGCAGGTGCTTCATCACCGGATGTTTTTAGGAAGAGAGACTAGACAGTCACTTATCTTAAATCTCCTGCTTGACCAGGGGATTGGACGAGAAGACCTCCAAGGTCCCTTCCAGTTTATTCTATTCTATATTCTCCATTCTTTCACTCCACTCCCCATTTCTGCTTCCACTTCGACTTCTACTCTGCTTTAAAAGGCTGCCCCACTAAGTCATATGTCCCATATTGCCTGAACAGTATAACCACTTCCATACTTCCTACAGTACATTACGGACGACCGGAATACATCAAGTCACTATAAATATGAATGAACCAAAGGAGAGGCTTCAGAAGACCGTAGCAACTATTCTATTCTCCGCAGCTGCCAAGAAGGCGAGAAAGTACCACCCAACTACTTAAGGGTCCTGATGACTCCGTCTACGCATGCGCGGAAACGGAGACATGAAATGAGTTCCAGATCTTGACGACTGCGAGTTGCGCAGGCGCGCTAGCCGGTTTCCTTTACGGCAGCCCCCGAAACAATCATGGCGTCCGGATTTGAAAGCGAGCGGGTCTTAGCGGCGCGTAAGGAAGAGAAGCGTCGCCAGCGCGAGGCGCTGCTGCAGCAGGTGACCCACCGGCTCGGCTTTTGGCTCCGCGTCCGGGGCCGTTTGCTTTCTTGGGGGAAGTCGCGCGTCTCTGATCTTTAAAACCAAACTCCGGAATTTGGGACTCGCCTTCCCTGCTGTCTCGTTTATGACCGAGCCCTCCCGTCTAGACTCCCTTGGTTCTAGACTTGGAGACGTCGCCATAAAAAAATAAATAAATGAAAACCTTTCGTTTTGAAGGACTGCGCCTTAGGCCGGATTAGTCGCCCGATTTAATAACTGGCCTTCTTTATGTCGTTTTCCAGGAAATGTAGTTTTACCAATGAAGCCATCTCTCGTATTGCTCTTGGAGAGAGGCTCCCATGAATGGCCGTCAATGGCAGTTTTGAAGCCGGGGTGATGGTAGTGGCAGAGAACTCCCTCCTCCAGGCAATGCCTATTTATTAATATAGACCTCCCCCCTTTTACCCAATTGCTCTTGAGTGATGTCCAAAGTAAAGTGATCAAAATATAAATCCACTGTTATCTGATTCTCAGTTGACTCAGCCCTCCATCCTTCTGAGGTTGGTAGAATGAAGACCCAGATTGTTGGGGGCAATATGCTGACTCTGTAAAGCTGCTTGGAGAGGGCTGTAAAGCACTATAAAGCGGTATATAAGTCTAAATCCTATCTTCATAAGGGAGTATTTTTGCATCTGAGAATACCTGAACAGTCTTATTTACAACAATTCACTGGATTGTTGGGATGTCTTGGGAAATCAGAGAATTATGCAATAGTCTTGTACAAAGTCCCTTTTAAACTGTAGGCAAAGTATTAATGCATCATTGAATCCTTCTGAGTAAGGCTATCATGGTGAGAGGTCCTTGGTGCTCTCTGAGCTTGGTTTTCTCCTTGCTTTCTGCAGATGTTTCATTACCCAAACCAGGGATCATGGAGTCCTAGTGGACAATCACTTAAATATGAGCCAGTAGTATGCGGCAGCAGCCAAAAAAGGCAACACAATCCTAAATTGTATTAACAGAGTGGTAGAATCAAGATCATGTGAGGTACTGGTACTGCTTTATAAAGCCTTGGTATGATCACACTTAGGATATTGCATCCAGTTTTGGTCACCATGTTATAAAAATATGTAGAGACTAGAAAAGAGCAACAAAGATTATTAGGGGGCTGGAGGCTAAAACATATGAAGAATAGTTGCAGGAATTGGGTCTGTCTAATCTAGTGAAAAGAAGGACTAGGGGTGACATGTTCCAATATTTGAGAGGCAGCGACAAAAAAGATGGAGTCAAGCATCAGAAGGCAAAACAAGCAATGGATGGAAATTAATCAAGGAGAGAAGCAAGAAGCTAGAACTAAGGAGAAATTTCTTAACAGTGAGAACAATCAGTGGAATGGCTTGCCTTCAGAAGTTGTGGGTGCTCCATTGCTTTTATGAAGAGACTGGAGAGTCACTTGCCTGGAATGCTATAGGGTCTCCTGCTTGAGTAGAGGGTTGGATTAGAACACATCTAAGATCCTTCCAATTCTGTTATTCTGTGGACTGATGATGTTACCTAGTTTGGGTAATGAAACATCTGAAGAAAACAAGCTCAGAGAGCACCCATCATTTCAATCCTGAGCTACAAATATTTTCCTTTATTGATTATCGTAGTATCATGTTTCCCCTTTTCATACACCTGGTCTTTTTATTCCATAGTTCATTTTAAGTTGCATGTAAGACAAAACAGTAGTACGGGATGAGAAGTTTCCACAGGGAGCAAAGGGACTCAGATACAAGTCTACCCTTGTGGTTGGCCACACATAGTTATTACATGACTTATCCCCGTGATGGCTAATCTTTTCGTTGTCACATGCTGAAAGTGCATGTGCATGCATGCTGCACCCATAATGCAATGCATGTGCAATCCCCACCCCATGCATGCACATGCATGTGTGACCCCCGCCCCGTGCACCTCTGCATGCATGTGTGACCCTGTGCCATGCGCCTCTGTGCATGCCCACCCCCTGCTCATGCGCACTTGTCTCCCATGCATGCATCTCCCCCCGCGCATGTGTGGCAGGGGGCACGTGTGCATGCGCAGTGAATCAGTTCCGGGCGATGGCTCGGGTGCCAGCAGAAAAGGCTCACGGCCTTATCCCAACCTACCTTACATAGGGTAAAATATTATTAATCAGTAAATAATTTCCTTTTTTACTCCTTGGTGGTCTTAGAACCAGGGGAAAGAAGTCCCTTCTGATGTACATATAGATACATGTTATTTGCAAGTCAGATTGTGCCTTCAGATAGAAAAGGATCCAAAGAAATGATTACATTCAGAATTGACGAGCTTCTTTATTAACAGCCACGTAACAAGCTGTAAGATTCTTGGTAAGATTGAAAATTAGGGGAGCCAGAACCTATGTTTTAAACTTCACAGCCTTGGTTTGCAAGAACTGTGTCACGTTATTTTATTTTATTTTTTAAATGGATTTTATAAGGAAATGTACTTTAGGATTATCCCACAAATATTGTTTAGCCTAAAAATCAGTTTGAGGTTCTGTTAAAAACTAAAAAGAAGAATGCACTCATGGAAACTTGAGATTAATTAATTCAGGCTGCCAATGGGTATTATCCTTTCATTTTTGGCAAAATATTACTATTTATGCAAAGAAATGGTTTTGTGTGTGTTGGTTTCCCATCACTAGTGGGAAAAGTTCTACAAATTAGAAACTTTTGGAGGGCATTTTATGGCTCCTATCCTTATAGTTGGGAATGTGAAACCAGTGGTTTTATTTATTGTAGACCACTCCAATCCCAAAGAATTCTGGCAGTTCACGAAAAGCAGAAGTAAGGACAACAAAATAAGTATAAAAATAAAGATTCCAAACCAAAGTAAGATTACGGACAATGAACTCAGACCAAAAGTATGATGGAAAAAACTATTTTTTAGAATCTTGTGGAAAGCAAGGATGGAGCCAAGAATGCCTCTAGGGAAAGTGTGTTTCATAGCATGGAGGCGCTTATAGCTGAGAAGGCCTGCTGTATTACTCTTTAATGCATACAATAATCTCTACGTGAATCAATAGCACAGAACTTCCACTATCCTAAGATTGCTGATAAAGACTTAGCAGTCCTACCCTTTGCAGGTGATAATGTCAATGAACTGTGGAGCTGGAGAAAATATATTGAAGGATCAATAGTTCAATATATGAGGGAAGTCCAGACAGTTCACTGGATGTACTAATAAAGCTAAATTTTAAATAATGTTGATATGTAATGAGAAAGGTAGACTTTTTGAAGAATTTTTGAGGAAATCAAAGACAATAGAAAAGGTGTCGGAAAACAAAACAGTTTAGCAGTATTTCTGATATGAGTTTGAGATTATAAAAACTTGAAGCAATTATGGACAGAAAATCCTTGCAAACTGTTATCTGATCACAAATAATCAGAAGTGACTGAAGAATAATGACAAGATTGTTGCTAAATTATTAGCAGACCTGAAACTTAATTTGTTATAGAAGAATATAGTTACTTTGAAGGGAAAAATTTGGAATTCTGCTTTATTAGATAAGGGTCGCCAGTAACTATTTTCATATGTGTTACGAGAATACTGTAAGGCTGAAATATTAGAGATTTACCTAAAGCAAAAACTTTAAATACCTCAGAAAAGACTGATGTGCTGTGAAAGGAAGCAAGAGTATTATAGTAATACAGTCTTCTAAACTAATAATGAAAATCAGAAAAAATGATGGCTAATAAAGTCTGTAGACTACATTTTTCTCTCCTATTCAGAACACAGTAAGTAGGTAAAATGAGTTTGAATCTTTATAAAAATGGAATTACGATTTAATAGGAATAATGGGCATTTAGTAGCATAGGCTCCATATTGGAACTGTCTGGACTGTGAGAAAGCGCTACTTATTCATACATTCAGTTGAGCCACCTTGAGAAAACATCTTCTCCCAGTCCTGCTTCAAGTTACCTTGTCATCTGTGGATATATGAGATGAATTAGAAAGAGAAGCCAGAAGGGAATTTGACAGTTCAATTTAATTGTTATTTCAGGAGATAAGAGTTTTGACAGTTGTTTTTCTATTTCTATATGCAAATCCCACTCATGTACCTCAAATGTGTTAGCATTTGGGATAGAAGTAGAAATAAAGGAAGGAAGTAATTTATTTACAATTTCTGCAAGCAGAAGGGATTTCTCAATTTTTGGCTGATAGGAGAATATGGAGATAGTTGCAGTCCAGGATTGGCTCTATGCAGTCCAGGACTTGTTTCTTCCCTTTGCCCATCCTTCCCAGAGAAACTATCACACCCAGCCTGTGACTGCTTTTGCTTTCTCCCTTCTCTGATGCCTTCTGCATTCTTTCTTCCAGCCTAAGCATTCTAAGCAGTTGTTTGAATCTTCTATGTCAGGGGTGTCAAACTCAAGGCCTGGAGGCCAGATCGGCTCATGGGTTGCTTGGATCTGACCCGCGGGGCCACCCTGGAAACAGTGAAGGACTGGCCCGCGGTACTTCTGCCAGTGAAAACGGAGCTCAGGAGGGCCGCTGGTGGCTCTTCCGAGCTCTGTTTGCACTGGCAGAGGGTTGCAGGAGGCCATTGTAGCCAAAAATGGAGCTTGTGAGCCCATTTTCTCTGGCAAAGTGCTCAGGCCACTACAGGAGCTCCTGACACAAGTGACATTGAGTTGGCCCCCCAAGGTAAAACACAACCCTGATGCAGTCCTCAATGAAATCGAGTTTGACACCCCTGTTCTATGTTATCATGTAAACAGCAAATAAAGACGAAGCCAGGGAACATATGTAAGTTAGATTTAACCAATTGCCATTTTGATCTATCCCTTTATATAGGAGTATAATGATTGAAGGATGCAGTTTGTTTAAAAGTAGAAACCATTGTAAGGCAGGAGAGGAATTAAAACTAGCAGCAATCAAAGAGAAGAACAGTAATTTCAATATACTGTAATACATGTTCGAATTCAGTTAAGCGAAAGAATAAGTGCAAATAACATGAAGCTCAGAATTGAACTGTG